GTCTACGCACCCTTGTGCTCGTTTTCCTCTTGCCTTTCGCTAGCCAGTGACAAGATTTTACTGAACTCTGTTCGTAACGTCTTAAAATGAATGATTTTGAGCATTGTAAGAAGTAAAAACAAATGAAAAATACTACAAATTGGAATAGAAGCTCTTTTTCTCCAGCAGTCATTACCAGTTAAGGTTAAGACTGGATTGTGTATGTTGACTCTTGGAGAAGCTGTACATGTGTATATTAGAAAAGTGCTCATTTTTAAAGCTTAAGCAGAACATTGTATTTTTGATCATTTCACGTGTTTTGAGGGCTCTGCCAAAGACTTTTTGAAGAAAATAGCAGCATTGTGTCAGACTGTCTGTTCTGTTCATTATGAAAATGTTCTGAGACTAGTTGCTCTGTCATTCTGCATTGCTTACGACCCTAAAAGTAATTGTCTGGCACTACTGGAGGCAGAACAGTCTAACTGCCCAACTTGTGCTGGTATAGTTAAAATCCGTCAGTGTTTCCATTACAAACTCGGAGGGAGGGTTTAATCTTTTTCCCATTTTTGAATCATGCCTGGAAGAAATTCTGGATCAGAGCTTCAATTCAGGGTATAAATCTTTTGAAAGAGATTTGATGTTACTGAAAAACTTCTCAGAAAAACTAAAGAGCAATGAGATTTTGATATTCAGTTTTGAACTTCTGAATGACCATGAATATATTTCATTCTCTTGTTGGTGATAGCTCAGTTGGGCAACAATACTGTTTCTGCATATCAAAGTTGGTTTTGTAGTACCTGAGTGCTGTAGTTTGCTGTTCTGGGTTGTTATCGTTACTGCATGATAAACTTTGCAATATACCAAATTGAAAGATTTCAAAACCTTCCCTGGGAAATGCAAAAGAGAAACGCATAATTATCATGAAGTATCTGATATAAGGCATGCCTTTGTACTTTTCTCCCACCCACAATTTCATTGCAATTTCCCAAGGTTATCTCCCAAATAGTTTCAATTTTCTTGTGCGTTAAGGCTGTAGTTTCGTGAATGCTCTGGACCGACACGAACTGTAATCCCCTCCTCTGCCTACACATTCCCCTGTGACAGCCAAAGCGTCTGCGCGGCACAAAACCACTTGTGGTGAGCCAGATCAGGCAAGATAATTTTTTGGTTCAAGCTGTGGCTACACAAGTGTTTGTGCTAGTCCAAAGGAGAGGCTGGCACAGGGGGGGGAACAAGCCAGTCTACAAGTCTACACCTACATTTCACTTTATATTTCTTTTCTTTTCTTCCCCCCACCATGGCTTTCCTTTAAGGGTCATAAACTGAATTTTTACTACAAGCTTCTTGAGCCATGGAGGCTCAGACTTTTACAGGAAAGGGACTTCATGCAGTAAATTCTTCTTGTCAGGGAAAACCTTGTAGTCTATAAGCTTTTACTAGCAACTTTAACCCTCTCTATTCATTACAATACTCCTCACTTATAACACCCCAGACCTGTTTTTAATACTCTCTGCACTGCGTTTTGTTATTCTGTGGTTAAAGCAAATGATTAAGACAGCTCTATTGCAAATTTTCTCTAGAATACTTTTAAGTTCCATTAGGGTCAAATTTTAATAAAAATAGCATTATCAAGGATATATAGAAGTGTTTATGTGCTTATTTCCTTTTGAAATTTTAATTATTTGTAATGATACGGAACCTTTTTCTTGAGATTCCTGAAACAATTTGCAAATACTGAGATCAGTGGCAGTTTGAAAATAACACAAAGGGACAAAAATAATTTTAAAAGTTTGGTTCTTAAGAGCTTTCTCAGCTCCGTTTCTATCTTAAAAAAAAAAAAAAAGGCGTGAAATTGTCTTAGTGAAGTAAACTTGGTTTATACCTGTTGAAGACTAGAGCAACAATATCTCTTATTTCATTTTCACATCTGTTGCTACAATGAAGAATGATGAAATCCTATGAGTAACACTCAACAGAAGTTAGGTATAATTTGAATCTGTGCTATGCATTGAGTGTGTTTCAGGTGATAGTTCAGTACATTGGAACGTGTCCATGAATCCTGTCCCAAACCTGGTGTGAAGCCAGGTGTATTTGGCACACGTGAGTAAATATGCACAGATTTAACATAGTGCTGCTGATGGTAAACAGGTTACTGTAGACTGAGATAACGTGCATGTTGCGATTGCTGTCTGTAGTTAACTCTACCGCACTTTTTCCTTTGCAGCAGTCCATCGTACCAGCCCACCCAATGGCTCCTCCTAGTCCCAGCACCACCAGCAGTAATAACAACAGTAGTAGCAGCAGCAACTCAGGATGGGATCAATTAAGTAAAACAAACTTGTACATCAGAGCACTGCCTCCAAACACCACTGATCAGGACCTGGTTAAACTATGCCAACCGTAAGTACTGTGCTTAAATATAGATTACAAAATGATACCTTAAAAATTCATAGTAGGTGTACAGTGTAAGTGTTGGATTATGAGGGAGGAAAAAGAGATCCTTAAATAAAAATCCTCATCCTGTGCTAGGATGAGAATTTTCAACTTCCACAGAAGTCGAGAGGAGCAGGGTGTGCTTGACGCTCTGGAGAAAAGAACAGCTTGAGTATAGTGGTGAACAGGTAGAACCCATTTTTGAAGTAACAGCTGTGGTCACCCATACTCCTGCCTGTTCCTGGTGCTGCTGAAATCACAAAAAGATGAAAGTTGGCACCAAAATGTGAAACTTAAGAACTTATAATGGAAGGTCTCTGTTCACCACTAACATATATCTGTCAGTACCAACTCCTCAAGTAATTTTTCTATATGAGTGTAAATTATAGCATGCGTTTTGAAGCTTACCCTGGTTTGACTAATTTGCATTGGCACTGTATAGTTGTGTTTATGATTAAAAATAGGGCATCCATGTAGGAATACTCGCTAATGGCTGGAATGCTGGGTAGACGTGGCTTAGCAGAAGGTTTTCAGGCAATGTTGTTAACACGAGGTTTTTGCTTGTGTGAGTTTTTGGGTTTTTTGTTTTTGTTTTAAATTTTTACAGCAACACATGCCTTCTGTTACTTTTAAATATGGGTTGGATGCCTAGAGACTGTGTGTAATTATGTTGTTTACACACTGTTTAGAAATCATCTTTCTTGAATGTTTTACTGACTTTTAAAGAAGTACTTAGTACTGCTGAGATGTGCAACACACTTTCTGGATCATTACTAAACCAAAATAGTTAGCTGTGTTTTCAATTTCTACCTATAAGAAAAGACCTAGATCTCTTATTTATGAATGAATCAAGAATCATATGGATTTACATATAACACTATTGTCTGAGATTCTCAAAGTAATTTCATCTTCAATTTAGCAGATTAGTAACTAGGCATATATAAAAATAGTTGCTTGAGATCACAACACAACTAAGCAAAATAGCCAAGAAAACCTATAAATCTTGAGTCCCAGCTCTCACGAGACACTTTTATGTTTGTGAATATTGCAAAAAGTGTGGTACCTAATTTATAGGGACTAAGTTCTTAATTTTTCATTTTTAAACAAAGCTTGGATTTTTTTCCAGATAGTAATCACTTATGAGTAGTGTTAGGATTATTTAAAAAAAAAAAAAAAAAAAAAAAAATTCCATTTGGTCATTTTCCCAACAGCAAATGTAATTTATAAATTTTAAAGAAAAAAGAGCAGATTATCAATCTATGAAAGAATTCATTGATAAATTATTCATTTTCACAGCTTGCCATGTGAAGAAGTCCTCTTGTCACTTGAGTTTGTTTTTAAAAATGCATGCTTTACAGAAGTGGATTTTTTCACCCCGTTTTTGTCTTTTGAAATGACAAAGAAACCTTTGCCTGCACATTCATAATATTTCAAGGCAGATTTATGAGTTTATTTTTCACTGGAGCCACCCAGTAACTCCTGTTTATTGCAGTGGTTACTATGGCTCCTGAATCTCTTTCTGAAGACATTTTGGTGTGCTTTGGTCTTAGGTGTCCCTGATGCATGAACATCCTAGAAAAAGATACTCAGTGCTTTCCTATCATAAGTCCTTTGTGTCTTGGGTTGTCAAAGATTCTGACTTTTTTGTTATTGTTCTTTTATATAAATATATATGTGTGTGTGTGTGTGTATAATTTTAGTCAGATCAGCATGGATTTTATGAATAAAGGGCAAAAACTGCAACCATGTAGTTATTAAATGAATTCTGAAGTGAATTTAACAGCTTGGAAGGTTGTTGCATTTCTTTCTCTCCCAAATGTCTTACCTGAGAGAAAAGGAGGTCCTGTATCATAATTCTCCATTTCTGCTGAGGAACCAAGTGAGATATCCAGGATTTTTAGGCCTGGAACATCTTTCAAAAATCTGGGTAATCTATTAAGAGCCTTAGACTTCTCTGCCAACATAGCCCCTTAGCAACTAAGTTAATGTTTCGGTAAGGTAGAGATGACAACGCTCTCTCCTTGTTCATAGAAGGGCAGTAATCCACTCTCATGAACTATGGAGAATTTCAGAGGCACAATTTTTCCCTCCTACAAATCTGCCTAAACTTCCTGGAAATGGAGAGATATTCTTGTAAGTGGACCTGGTGGTAACATCCAGCTGCCTTGCTGGAACATCCTTTGCTGCTTGAATTGCTTATAATTTTTGAAAACTTCTTAAAGTAAATAAGCTTTTGTATGCATGTCATTGAAGAGAAATGCAGATATATTCTGTGTTCATTGTTATCAATAAACTGTCCACAGTTGTCTGTCTTCTTCTGTCTGTTTTTATTGAATTAATACCACCAGCTCATTCACAGAAAAAAGAAAAGGTTGAGGGTTATAAAAATTAATAAATGTGTGTTTGTAAAGTGAATGGCTTTAGTTTATCTGTTTTAAACTGAAAGAACAGACTTTTGGTTTATTTTGGGATGTTTTTGCAGTGTTTTCTTTAAAAAAAAAAAACATAGTGTTGAACTAACTATCAAGTAATAATAAGAAAGTGAAACTAATTGTTCATTTTCATTATGTAAGCTGAGGTAATGCAAAATAAATGAAGGATAAAATCTTGGACTCACAGAAGCTAATGAAAAAACTGCTGTTTACTCCAAATCTCTAAAACACTTTCTTTAGTTCTCTAAAGTTGCCTAAAATTTAAGGTGGTTTTTTTTCTTAACCAGGAGGCTTTAGAGTAATTTTAACCCCTCCTCCCCATATAGACCGGATCTTGCCCCCCTGAGAGGGGGCATCCATTGGAGTCCTTAATGCCAAACTGATTACAGAAGGGATAGAAAGGCTGCTCTGCGTATTGCAGAAATGGTCTTGCTAGCTGGCAAGAAGCAGGTTTCACCGGAGGTACGAAAAGAGGTCACTGGCATTACCCTTGTACAGCATGGCTGTGGAAGGGTTACGCTGTCATCCCTTCGGTTGGGAGTTTCACTCATAGATTGTTTGGCTGCTGTCAAACAAGATAGAAAAACAACTCTGGGTTGAGGAAATAGTGGTTAAAAAAACGTCATTATCACTGCAAATGCCAGAAACATCCCATTTGCACAGATTTTCCCTTTGGTCAGGTCTGGTTTCATTCATATGAATTTGAAGACATTGTCTAGTCCGTCCTTCCCAGTTCCTGATTTGGTCCAGAACCTGTCCCACAAGCCTTAGCATCCATCTGAAAAGAGATCCTTTTCACCCCAGCCCTCCCACTTCAAATTATGTCATTTCAGTGATCTCACATGTAGCTAGCTGTGTGCCATTTCTCCGTCTAAGGGGGAAAGCTTATTTTGTCCAGAGAATATAAACAATTATATGTGCAACCATATGCATCACAAGGGCATCTGTACTATTTTGAATTAATCAGCATGAATGCTTCCTTCCGTAAGGACTTGTATCGTATACTGTACTGAAAAGTTATTTTAAATTACGATTATTGTAGAGAAGTGTTATTTCTTCAAATGTATTCCCTCAGAATACAGTGCAGAAGAATCTACAGAATTCTTGTGTATTTGGGTCTGGACATACAGTGCCATTTATTTGCTTTAGTCAATCTGTTTGCTTTAGCTCTTGCTCACAACAGTTAGCAGTGCTAATTTTTGACAGGTTTTTAATGATTCACCAAAAATAATTAATCAAAATAGAGAAAACCCTTACCAAATTACAAAAGTGTTGGGCTTGCTTTCCTGTTGTAGCACAGCCGTGCAGTATTTACAAATACAGTTAACAGAAGTTCACCGTTTTTGTGGAAATGTGCTTTCCTGGCAAGAGAGCAGTTTTGCCAATATATGGCTCCGCAGATCTGTTCCCTACCTGCATCTGCTTGGGTTTTTTTACAGTGCTCTATTTGGAGAAGCTTTCTCCTCTTCTTCATGAAGAAGACAACAGCTTATGAAGGCTTACCTGGGAGTACGGCTATTTTCAGATTGCATTGTTGGCTTTTGTGTGGGAAATGAAGCTGGCACGCTTCTGAGTAGTTCAGTCAAATGCAAGCCTGCTACTTCAGTTCTGCACTGGGAAAACACATTTCTTCATATCAGTTGTGCCAGGGGCAGAAGTGTGGGGAAGAATATGATATGTATTTTGTTTACTGCAAAACTGTCCTAACAGCCAACTAAGAACAGAGTCCCGTTTGTTACGGGACGTTGTATGAGTCAGTTCTGTCCCCAAGAGCTTTCCATTAGGTATACACGCGCAAGCAAAGCAATTGACGCCGCGGCCCACAGATACCATCTTTCCAGGAGGAGGCTAAACAGGAGAAATTAGCTAAATAGAAGAGGGGAAAAAAAAAAAAGCAGAGAAAAGGAGAAATCGGAGTAAACAGCTGATGAGCCCGGTTTGGAGAAGCCTGCGGGAAGCAGCCCGACCTCAGCCATGCCCGTGGTGCTCTGAGCGGTTTCTGCAGCCGCTCTCTGCAGAGAGCTTACTCTGCTTTGCTCTCTCGCGCTTACTTTTCCCAAACCATGCGATGTCATTGCAGGAGACCTGCTGTCGTGAGCAAGCCCCATTGGGAAGCGTGGGCTGTACAGGGTTGCAGGTAGCCTTGGCCAACCCTAATCGTGCTCCCTTCCCCCAGGGCAGCTATCAGTACTTGCTTCACGTGCCTCCTTGAACTGTTGTGCTAGCTTTTTGTTCGTGAATAGATTATTTAGAGCTCATTTGTACCTTAGTGTCTGTTAGACAGTTGTTTCCTGTAGTTTAGTTAACATCTGAAAATACAAGGTCTAATTTGTTCCAGTTATTTCCCTGAAGTCCTAGAGACTGCTGGTGTGATTAGGGACTTACGTGATTGGGGTTTATGAGATTCACCCAGGAGCTGGTAACTTGCTTTGACACATTTTCTAGGTGCTTTCCAGACTCCCACTGAGTGCTGTGCTTCAGTGCGTGTAACCTTTATGCCCAGACCACAAGGTTTGAGAGCCCTGTGCTTTCTGC